CTAGAGTAGCAATGGTGACCTAGGGCACACACACGGCACACACGCCCCAGAGGGCTGCTCCTATCGTTGAAAGCTCCAAAACGTTTGCCATCAGTGGCCTATAAGGATCATTAAAAAAATAAGCCCTTCCTATAAAGGCACATTTCAAATTCTAGTAAGGATATTTTCCATCTTAAGTATTAGACACTACCGTTTGTAAATTGTACTAAAGAAGATTTTCTGCATTAAATGGATCTTTCAAATAAATGGGCATCCATCCACCCTCACTTCCAATGCGCAAGGCGGTGCAGCTTACCAGCTGCTCCCTGGAGACTGGCCTGTCAGAAGTGAGCAGCATCACCACTGTATCAGAGTTCTGCTCTGTGAGCTGGCAATTCAATGTGTGACGGGGAGAAAGTAAACTTTTAAAAGAAATCAACGAGTTGACGAGGTGTTCCTTGATTAGGGGGAGTGGGAATTTTAATTAGAAAAAACTTTCATAGAAATAGGCAGTCATCCTTCACTCAAGTACTGAGTGCTTGCCACGCCTAGCAGGACCCCTCAAGCGCAACAAAGCCTGCCCTCAGGGAGGAGGCCTGGGCCGCACCACTGAGGCTAGGGCTGGGAGGGAAAGCTGCTGTAGAGCAAGTCACACTGGCAGCAACTCATTAAGCTCTGAACCCAGATGCCGATGGGCTGCTGCTACCTATGTGCAAATCTAAACTAGTAAATTTGCTAAACTCTAAGCACCAATAACCAGTGAGTCCTTTAAGTACGAAAGACTATAAACAGGAACTATTCTGAATATTGAATTAGCATTTCCCACATTGTTCAGTAGTTAAAGCCAGTTATCTATCTCCTGTGACTTTAAAAGACTTTGAGCTGAGTATCTTATCTGTAGGTCAGGCTGACTTTCCCAGAAAAAAAAAAAAAAATGGGCAAAGGAGCATTTAGAATATTTTTAAAAGCTTTTGGAAATGGAAAATATGATAACAGTCAGGGGCAGAAAACATCAATAGAATCACTGGAAGATAAAGTTGAAGAAAGCCAGGCATGGTGGCGCACCCCTGTAATCCCAGCACTCGGGAGGCTGAGGCAGGACGATTGTTGTGAGTTTGAGGGCAGCCTGGGCTACAAAGTGAGCTCAAGCCCGGCCTGAACTGCACAGGGAGACCATGTCTCAAAAAGACCAAAAAAAAAAAAACAAAAAAAAAAACAAAACAAAAAAACAAGGATGTAGCTTAGTGGTAGGGCTAGCATGAGTGAGGTGTCAGGGTTAAGTCCCCAGTACCCTCCCCGCAAAGAAACCATTCAGAAAAGTTAACAAAACAACAGAGAAGGAAAAACAGGAGAGAAAAAAACAAAGGGGAAGGTGAGTAGAGTAAGTCTAACATCTGCATAGGAATTCCAGAGAGACAAACTGCGTGTTGGGGGGATCCCCATACAAGTGAAACAGGAAATAAGTAAGTGGATTGTTAAATAAATGTTGTTAAATAAATGGATTTCTCAGGACAACAGAATGTAAGGTTTTGACTGAAAAGGTTCAGCGTCAAGCACATGGAATGAAAATATACCTTTGCCAAGCCACATCTCCAGGGCCTCTGGAAAAAAAAAGATTCTAAAGAAAAAAAGAAAAGAAAAATCTTGGCCATATATAACTGCTAGAAGACCACAGACCTAAGACCTATGACATGCCCACGACCATGCTAACCAAATACATAAGGACATTTCTCAGGTATTAAGGTCTCACTTTACCTCTCACATACACTTACAGAGAACCTATACAGGCATGCATACCACAGAGAATAAAACAGGGAACACACGGAGAACATGCAATCCAACCCAAGAGCAGAGAACCACCAGGATGGGCGGGCTAAGCACCCGGCCCTGGGCCACCAGGTCAGCCTGGAGCAGGGGCCAGGGCTCCGAGGCTGAGTCAGGAACAGCTCCTGACCAGATGGGGCTCACGTGGCTGAGACCATGAAGATGCTGTGTTCCTAACACAAACAGTTTACACAGAAGCTTCATGACTCTCCATAAATCATTCTCAGTCAGACTGTTGTTTCCTACAGCTGAAACACAGAAATAAATCTGGATTTAAGGACTCCCACAGTTGTACATCAACATGCAGATACAAAAAAAGAACAAAAACAAAAAAAACATGCAGATATACTCAAAGCTGAGGGTGTAGGGGCATTGAGGGCAGGTAGGTTTTGCCATTTTTTGATGTATGTATTTCAAGTAGCGTTTTTTCTTTTTTCTTTTGTACTGGAAATAGAACTCAGGACCTTACGCTTGCTAGGCAGGCGCTGTGCCGCTGAGCTATATCCCTGGGCTTTTCAAATATGAAAACATTTCTGAATTTCAAAAAATTGAATAAAAAACATGCATATGTAGTATGGATACCTTTTGTGGAATTTAATATATATATTAATATACTTACTATAAGTGTAAGTTTGTGATATAATTTTGTTGTTGTTGTTGGTGGTGGTGCTGAAGATGGAATCCAGGTAAGCACTCTAATACTGAGTTACTCCCTAGCCCTGAAAAATGCTTATCGTGGGTTGCAAAGTTTGAAAGCAATGAACCAAGTACTTCTGTGAGAAATTGCTTTCCTACGGCGCTCAGAACTCCCAGATCTTGTTGTCTGTTCATGAAGTAGACATGTGCACAGGCTGGGGACATGTCCACCTTGTGTTAGTCCACTGGTGTCTACTTACTCTAGGCCTTTCTCTGTAACCAGTATTTGGGAAAGCCTCTGGACAATTGAGAATCTCTGTTTTGGAAGAGCCTGCCACTACACAAAAACTGAAGGAAAAAAAAATTACCAAACACCATTGTTATATCATTAATTTTTTTTCTTTTTTTGAGACAGGGCTTCACCATGCAGTTCAGGCTGGCCTTGAACTCACAGAGATCCTCCTGCCTCAGCCTCCCTCCCTAGTGCTGGGATTACAGGTGTGCACCACCATGCCCACCTTCATTGTTTAATTTTTAGGGAATATTATTCTAAACCAAAAACATTATTAATAAAAACCATAGGTCTATTCCAAAATTTTAAAATTTCTTCTGTGACATTCCACTCAGAAGGTAGAAAACCACAAAGTTCTTCCCTGAGGAAGGTGCAAATGGAATGTGGAACACAAACTATGAAGACAAGGGTGTTTAATCTCTTACTTTCCCCCAGATCATTTTGGGTGAAGAATTGCTCATATAACTTTTCAGAACTATCTTGCTGAGATTTGCTACCATGATATGGGAGTAACGAACATTTACCAGTTAGCATAATACACTACCCACATCCACAGCTAAAAGGATGAGGCCTCAGCATTACATGTCAATTCATCTATTAGCAAAATCATGCACATGATTTTTGCCAGAACCCTCCAAACTTAAACAACCTTTAAATAGCTAAAATCCAATCAGAGCATGCAGGCACCACACCCAGAATTATAAACACATCCTGCTCATATGTCTTTAGCTTCACTGTAACAATACTCTAGGGCAGTCAAGGCACAATCCTATCTTTAAAAATCAACAGTGAATGGGGCTGGGGATTTAGCTCAGCGGCAAAGTGCCTGCCTGGCAAGCACAAGGTCATGAGTTCGGTTCCCGGTACTGGAGAAAAACCAAAACCAAAAAAAAAATCAACAGTGAAGAGTAAACACAAAGGACACCTGCACATGGCAAAGAATTCAGTTCTTGGACATAAAACTGGCCTTTAGGTTCAGATATTGTCCAGAACTTGATCCTTGTCCAGAACTTGATCATTCTTAAATTACAGCTATACTCATCCAAACAGTCCAATATATTAGTACTTAATATAAAAACAAAACAAAACCCCAAATAGTATTTCCTTTATTAACTGCTTCACTCCAACCATGGTTAGTGGAACCATGAGACTGTCTACCCTAACAATACTGGGAAAACTTCTAGTTACAAGGTGATGCCTTGCTATGGAGGTATTAAACTCAAAATGAATCTTGAATTAGACACAGTGATGAATTAGATACAATGACGGTTCTGAGTATGTGGAAAAAATTTAAGGCAGATGGTAACTCTAATAAGAGTCAATCAAATATTAAAATGGCATTGTGCAAATAAACGGTTCATAGTAAAACTTAATTTTTTATTAGTTTTTAATGGGCGAACTACTCAGTTAAGAGAGAACAGATGAGGCTGGGGTTCATGGCTAGGCTGCATGGAAGGAAGCAGTTTCCTCTTGAAGACCCACAGAAGGAAAAGGACTTTTGACACCTTGTGGCTCGCACTTATCCCTAGAAAAGTATTTCCGTAAGAAGCACAAAAATGTCATGGAAAGGAAGCACCATATTTTGACTTAACAGCTATTTTTTTTAACCCCAACAATCTATTCATCATGTAAGTACCACAGAAAAATCACCCTCTTTAAAAAAGGGCATGCAGGGGCTGGGGATTTAGCTCAGCGGCACAGCACCTGCCTGGCAAGCGCGAGGTCATGACTTTGATTCCCGGTACTGGAAAGAAACCAAAAAATAACAACAAAAAAAGGGCATGCAGAAGCATTAGATTAATAATAGAAAAGAAAGCACACACCCAAAGCAGGCAAAAATATGGTTTATGTTAAAAAGTACCAAATAATTTTTACTATAAAATGCATGGATTTGCATGATTTAGTAATTATTTCATATTACTCAGATTCAATTTCTCTGATAAATCTCTACTATAAATGTTTTAGAATATCTATTTATTTATATTTATTTATTTAGTCTTTTTGAGACAGGGTCTTGCTATGCAGTTCAGGCTGGCTTTAAGCTCACTTTGTAGCCCAGGCTGGTCTCGAACTCACAACAATCCTCCTGCCTCAGCCTCCTGAGTGCTGGGATTACAGGCGTGCGCCACGCCTGGCTAGAATATCTATTTTTAAAAAGTATCTGTTTTTCAGCCATACAACCTGTGTTTGCATATCCAGGTGTAAGCTATCTTGCTTTGTACCATGAAGCCAAAATACTAAAAGATTAAAAATACAATGTTTTAAAATCTTTAAGTTACAGACTAAAAAATGATATATTTCCTCAAGTTTTATGAACTACAGCACTAAAATTAACCTGTACTAACATAATCTGGATTTTCAGATGTAAGTACAAAAGTCCTTGGCTGGTTGTAAAGACCAATAGGGTGGTGAAGACCCTCACAAATTGGCTATAAAATCCTAAGTCAAATTATTTCTAGAACCTGGACCATAATATATGAAATGGCTTAAGTCTTCTTAGTTTCAACCCTGAAAATGGACTCTAAAATTTGAAATTGTGCGTTTTCATGTGCTTTAAACAGACAAACTGACTTTACAATCGATACTCTGTAAGAGAGCAGGTAATTCTAGCACAGAAGAAACTATATAATGTGGAATGGGGGATGTCAGCGGCATGATTCCACTCTTGTTTATCCAGACTGTAGCTTTCAGTCCTGCATTGAGGCCTCCTTGTATATCAGTTTCTAACGTGTCACCGACCATCACGCAGTCCCCAGGCTGTACTCCAAGGAGATCACAACAGTGATAAAATATGGAAGGTGCCGGTTTCTCCTCTTTCTGCTCTCCGCCTACAACAATGGCATCAAAGTAGGACTGACAGGCACAAGCCTCGATCTTTTCCCGCTGTGTCTGTCTGTCACCATTTGTTAACAAGAGTAGGCGGACCTCTTTGCGAAGTTCTGTGAGCATGGCTTTAACATCTTCTGCTAGGGTCATATGCTGTAGACGTGTTGATTTCCACAAGAAATAACATTCCTCAGCCAATCTCCTGTTGTTCTTACCACCTTTTGTTTCCTGGATTGCTTCTTCCCAGTGGGAAGTCCTTAGGTCTGTAATGCACATATTGTAAGGATGAAAGCATTCTTTGCTGAGTTTAACTTGAACTTTTTCACAGATGATTTCAGCTTCTTCTTTATAATGGTATTTTGATTGTAATAGCTTTATTACCTAAACAAAGGAAAACAACTCAGTTAATGTACTTTGTAGCTAGGCATGGTGGTGCATGCCTGTAATTTCAACACTCTGAGAGGCTGAGGCAGGATTCCAAGTTTGAGCCCAGCAAGAGCACCTTAGCAAGACTTTGTCTCAAAATAAAAAAAAGGACCAGGGATACAGCTCAATGTGAAGGCCTTGGGTTACACACACACACACACACACACACACGCACGCACGCACGCACGCACGCACACACGCACGCGCATTTTGGGTCTTTAACAATCATGCCCCAAGAAGTTGTGGTCCTACAGTGGCTGGAAGAGTCTGAAGCAGCTCCATCCCCAGCTAGTGGTGTTGGTTTTAGAGGCACCATGGTGAGGATCTCCCAACTTCTCTAGCCAACTCCCTCATATATATATATGTCCAATTTCTAGTCTAAGAAAGTTCTTCACACATAGCCATAGCCAGTAACTAGCTGCCTTCTTTTTTTGGTGGTTGCTCAAGGTGAAAACCAGGGCCTCTTCCATGCCAGCCATGTTCTCGAGCACTGAGCTATGCCCCAGTCCATCACAGCAGGGACTTTTTAATCCCAACCAAATATGTCACAATCATCTCCAAAAAAGCTGACTTTCCTTGGCTTGCACCCTGAGATAGGCTTCAGGTGCCGGCTGTTCATTTGGGAGGTGGCCCCAGGAAGTGCTGAGGGAAGTAGGGAGTAAGACAGGAGGGGAGGAATCTAATAGAGATATACTGGTGAGCAGGTTATCAAGGTGTGAGCAGGGGAAGGGGGAAGGACACAGAATTTTCTCCACCTATCCCTCCCAAGAGGTAAGAAAGCATAGTATTTATCCAGCAGTTTTTGCCCCTCGTTACAGACTGGTCCTGGGGCAACACTTTAGCCCTAGCCTATATGCATGAATGCTTTTGTAGCCAAATAAAGCCTGTAGCCAGAGAAGCCCATGGACTTGCACTGTGAAGTCGTTGGCAGCAACTCCTATGGCATGAGCTCCTAGGCTCTTTGCAGGATGGCTCCAGACGGCCTCTCCAGTCTTATCTCTGAGCATCCTCCCTGACACGCCTTCCACAGGGTCTGCTGTGTTTTTTTTTTTTTGTTTTTGTCTTTTTGAGACAGTGTCTCGCTATGCAGTTCAGGCTGGCCTTGAGCTCACTTTGTAGCCCAGGCTGGTCTCGAACTCCCAACTATCCTCCTGCCTCAGACTCCGGAGTGCTGGGATTACAGGCATGCGCCACCACGCCCTGCGGGTCTGCTGTTAAAGCAGTTCTGTAAGTAAAAAACTATGTTGCCCTAAATGACTGGGGGTAAGGGACATTCCACTCACAGCAGATGCTTAATTCACCTACTAATAAGGTAAAGAGATTAAACATACACATTTTTCTTCTCTCAGAGTTTAAGAACCCCTTACAAAAAAGGACAAAATTATTTTTCACATTGTGTTAGTTAGAAAAGTCTTACTAGCTCAAGAAAAATGCACTGGCTGTAAGAGTTTTAGGTGAAGGCAAAACACTGAAAAATTTTGCTTTGCAAAGTTAGAGTTCAATGAGCATATCAAGGTTTTCCAATCTCCATGATTATGTATTTTCCAGCAACAGGAACTAAATTACTCCTTTGGGGGGTGGAGTCATACTGGAGACTGAAATCAAGGTCTTGCACTGAGCTATATCCCTGGCCCTTTTTATTCTGAGACAGGGCCTTGCTAAATTGACCAGACTGGGCTTGGATTTGTGATCCTCCCTCCCTAGTTTTCTAAGTAGCTGGATTACAGGCATGGGCCACTGCACTTGGCATGCATTTTAATATATTAACATCTTTAGGACAAAAAATTTAAGCTGGGCGTGGAGGTGCACGCCTATAATCCCAGCACTTGGGAGGCTGAGACAGAAGGATCATTTTGAGTTTGAGGCCAGCCTGGGCTACAAAGTGAGCTCAAGGCCAGCCTAAACTGCATAGCAAGACCCTGTCTCAAAAAGACCAAAAAAAATTACTAGTCAGTCACATGTTAGCTCAAATAGAAATAATACCTAAGTTGAATCTGTATACATTATTACAAACTTTCCTTGCATCAAGAGATCTAGAGGTTTCCAGCTTGGAGGTATACGAAGACATCAGGTAAGGCAGGCTTGAAAAAGATTGACACATGAGCCCACAGGCTTGAAAAAGATTGACACATTTTACCTGTAGGCCCAAAGAGGCTTCCTATTATGGTAAAGAGAAGATTACAATAAACTCAAAGGTGCTTTCTGAAGATACAAAAAAAGAAGCACTATCTTTTATTTCCTACTCCCAGAACTAAAGTTGCTGTCAAAAATATTGCTTTACCTAAGTGGATTTTAAAGAATTTTTTGAGGGCTAGTTTGGGAGCCATATCACACCTAGTAACACTTTTAAGCATTTTCTGAATAATGATTATTCAGATAGGAAGGGGTTGAATGAAGTATGGTGAGTGCCTGCACACAGCCCAGCAATGCAAGCAGCCCTACTCTAGTTCAGGTTTTTGCTCAAATACCATAGACTCAATGAGGTAAAATCTGACCAGCCTATTTAAAAATTATAATTCTGGGCTGGGGATATAGCTCAGTGGCACAGCACCTGCCTGGCAAACACAAGGTCCTGAGTTCAATTCCTGGTACCAAAAAAAAAAGAAAAGCAATTACTTTCCCTGGCTACTTTTTCTAACACATCTACAAATATAAATATATTTATTACGTTCATTGTCAACCCCACTAAAAGAAAATTCACAAATGCAGAAATCTTTTGCTTTGGTCAGTGAGAAACTATAAATTTCTGTAGAAAGATTCCTTTTGTATAGTGACACTGTAAGTCAGACCTAAAGAGGGTGGAAAGAAATCACTTTCCCAGATGATGAAAAAGCAATTAAAACAGATTTACAGTCATGAGTCCTTTTTCCTAAGCCCAAAGTGAAAGCTGGTACTTTCCCCATTCCTCCGCAGGTAAATCACTAACACGTTATTTTTTTCGCAGATCAACAATTTTGATTGGTGTGGTACCCTCACATGACAAAGTATCCACACCGTCTAATTCTACTCATTTTATAGGCTATTTATGAAAAAGTGTGTCATGGTTTGTGTCTGGATATTCCCCCAAAGCCTCCTGCGGTCACGGGGGTGGGCAGGCTTTTCAGAGGCGGCTGAATCTAGAGTTTGTGACTGATTCACTGTCTAGTGCTGGGGTTGCGGGGTGTGAGTACTACACCCGCCCTAGAGGTAGCCTGCATACAATATAAGGGAGGAAAAGAGGCTTGCTCCTTCCTTTTGCTCTTGTTGCTTTTGGTATCTTCAGCCACCGTGAACCGCTGCCTCTCTGCCGCGTGCCACCCTGCCTCACAGCCAGCCAACATGGACTGAAACCTTTACAAACTGTGAGCTAAATAAACCTTGCTTCCTTTAACTTTAGGAAATGGGTGTTTTGTTCCAGCAATAAGAAAAATAACTAAGACAAGGCAGTGATAGGCCAAGACTGGAGATCTGATTTTTTGCCCATCCACCCAGCATTTGTTCAGTACTTGCCATGTGTCAAACAACGGTAATTAAAACAGCATATCCCCTCTCAAGAAGCTCATTATTTAGTTGCAGGCAAATTAATAACCTGCTTTGATGTTATAGTTAGAGATCTGAACAACAACTTGTGGTACTAAAGTAAGTGAGGATGCAAAGACTGGGGAGAGATATAATTTTTTTTTTGTTTTTAAAGTTAGAATCTCACTGTTGCCTAGGCTGGTCTTGACTATCCAGGCTCATGTAATCCTCTTGCCTCAACCTCCCGAGTAAATTTTTTGTCCTACAAGTCACCCTGTGGCAGAAATGTGGAGGATGAACTGGACCAGGTCTGACTGGGAAGAGACCACAGCAACAGTCCAGATGAGAGAGGAGGCCAGCTGTAATTCAGACAGGAACAAGGGGGATGTTCACTGGCAGGGTGAGGCCCGGAGTGGCAGCAGAGGTGGATGGAGCTACAATTCATTGAGAGAACATGGACGCCACATACTTCCCTACCTGACATGATTAATGAGAATACAATTATTCAAATTTTATGAGAATTTGGGGCTTAGAATGGAAAAGTAACTGGTTCAGGCACTTTCAGCTACATGTTGGGAGAACTATGACTCAAACTTCATGTGAAGATGGGGCAATCAACAGTGGAAGGCATCAATAAAGGTAGTAAGACAGACTCAAAGGGTTGCCAGTGTCGCTTAGTGGTGGAACAGCAGGCTAGGGTTTTATCACCTGCACCCACACACACAGATTCACAATGTCCAGAGACCCCGGCACTCTGGAAGGCCCTAACGACCAGGCAAGTCTATTTCATTCTAGTGGTGGAGACAGATGCTTCCTCATAAAGATTCAGGAATAAACAGGTGGGAGAGACACGGAGACAGTGGGTATAGATTTCTCCTGACAACACGGCTGTCAAGAGAGGCCACATCTGCTACAGAAGGAGTCCAAGGAAGGTGTTCCTTTCGGGTTGTTAAAAGTATAGGACAGACATGGCGCATGCCTGCAATCCGAGCACATGGGAAGCTGAGGAAGGAGGATCGCTGCAAGTTCGAGGACAGCCTGGGGACAAAGTGAGTTCAAAGCCAGCCTGAACTGCATAGTGAAACCCTGTCTCAAAAAAAAAAAAAAAAATCCAGTAAGTATCACACATGAACATGCAGCTCGCGTGGAATATGCCAAAAAGGATAAAGAGATGAAGACCTGAGAAAATAAAAACTGTCTGAGAGGCCAGAAGCACCGGGCACTCGGGGCCGAGGTCCGGCTTTGGAAAGTGGTTTTTCCACAGCTGAGAATTCTTCCATCTCTCCTGGAAGCTGAAGGCAGATGGAAAGAAAGCAAGAGAGAAGAGAGGCCCCCCCGGCACCCACAGGAGCAGGCAGGACAGACCTCCGGGGGTCTGGGTCACAGCAGCCAGGCGCTGGTCGCCTCGCCATGACAGATGCCACGTCCGGGGTCAAGAGCGCGCGGCCCTGGGCGAGTTTCACAGCCATCGAGCCCGCGCCGCGGGGACGCCTAGGGCCGGGGTCCCACTGGGGCAGGCTCTCCGGGGCCAGGGCCCCTGACCCATAACCCTGGGGCGAGGTCCGCCGGTTCAAGCACCAGCTCCGTGGGGTCCGGGCGCAGCGACACAGGGACGCGGGAGCGCGCGTTACCTCTGACATGCCCCTCCGGCTCGCCCCAGCTGTATCGATGAGTGTGTTGTCCAGGTCAAAGAACACAGCCCTCACGCGGGTTAACCCCATGGCCCAAATGGCAGGGCACGACCCACCGCGCCACTTGCGCAGGCGCGAGGCGGCCTGCGGGGAGGAGGATGTGGACGGCCTGCGAGGTCAGCTGACCCCGCGCAGCGAAGAGCTTCGGAGATCGTCCGCCATGGCCTCTCTGGAACTCCAGCCCGTTATCGCGTACCTGAGCGCCTCTGCAAGATCCCGCGAGATTCCGGAGTCTGTTGCACATCGCGCGTGCGCACGGCGGGGTGTTTGAATTATCTCCACCTGCGGCTCCAGGCGCCAGCTGTTTCGCGCGCCTCGGTTGAGGCCCCGCCCTTGGGGGCGGGCCGCGGTTCCCTCCCATCCCCCGAGGGCAGCCTCCAGTGCCTGTGCCCCCGCTGGTCTTCGGAGTTGTCTTCAGGGCTCTCCCTGGGTTTGTCCTCCGGCCGCCTCGCCCCGGGCTTCCCGGATGCTGAGCGCCCTGCGCGTGAGCCGGCGCTGGAGTTAACTTCCGGAAGTTCGGGCGCTGTGGTCCTCAGCGGGAGTTCAGGCCAACGCTCCCCGGGTAGCTAGTTTTGCTGGACACAGGTTATGTTTACATTTGGAATAAAGCTAAGCATAGAATTAATAACTTGATTAACTCAGTTATCCTGGTATTGTAAAAAAAAAATTATTATCCCTTTACTCTTTTTATGTGCTGGACTATTTTTTTTTTTTAAATTAATCCCGGACGCCTTGTTATTTTGACTTTGCATTGTTTCTAAGGAGGATTTTTAGGTAATTTTATTGAGGTATAATTTGACAATAATAAGAAGCATAGCTACCCCTCCCTCCCGCCCCTGGAACCCAAACTTTCTGCACTGGGCTACATCCCCAGCCTTTTAAATTTTTTGTTTTCAGACAGGGTTTAATTGCCCAGGCTGGGGCCGGGGATATAACTCAGTGGCACGAGCACGTGCCTGGCAAGCGCAAGGCCCTGAGTTTGATTCCTGGTACTAAAAAAAAAAAAAAAATTTACCCAGGCTGAGCCCGATCTTGTGACTCTCCTGCCTCAGCCTGTGACAGTTCTGGGATTACAGGAGTGCATCACAACACCCAGCTGAGAAGTATAGCTTTTAACTATATAGTGTGACAAGTTTTGAGGAATGTGTGCAGCCAAGTAACTTGGCGCCGCAATGACAGAACATTCTAGAAAGTTCTCTCATACCCTTTCATGTAAGGCAGTTGACCCAGAAGTATACATTTTTTTGTTTGTTTTGGTCCTTTCGAGACAGAGTCTCGCTATGCAGTTCGGGCTGGCCTTGTGCTCACTTTGTAGCCCAGACTGGTCTCAAACTTGCAAGGATCCTCCTGCCTCAGCCTCCCAAGTGCTGGGATTACAGGCGTGTGCCACCACGCCCGGCCAAAGTATACATTCAAGAATCCTCACTAAAATGTTAGCGAATAGAATCTGGCAGTGTAGGAAAGGGAAAGTGATATACATTAAAACCTCGGTTTGCAAGCATAATTCATTCTGGAAATATGCTTATAATCCAAAACACTTGTATATGAAAGTGAATTTCCCCATAAGAAATAATGGAAACTCGCCATTAATCCCATAACCCAAAAAAATCCATATAAAAGGGTTACAATATTGTAATATAATACAAAATAACAAAACACAAAACATAAAGAAAAGGAGACAAATTAGCTTGCATTTAACTTTGAAAAACCTTTGTGGTTGGTGTGAGGGAGACCAGAGCGGAGGGTTATTGTGTAGGACAACTTGCACTATCACTAATAGAATCACTGCTGTCGGCTCCATGGAATCTTTTTCTTTTCATGCAATTTTAACAAGGAACCTATCCAACGACACTTGCTTTGCCTCTTTTTGAGGATTGCATGGAAATGTGACATTGCATTGTCATTAAATAGGTTCATCACTTGCCCTGCTACAGCCTTAGTTGAGTGGTGCTTTTCTACAAAATTTCTCACATTTTGCACAACTCCTTAATCTCATTTGAAGTGAGGGATTCCTTTGCCCTTCTATGCTCCTTTTCTGCCCATGAGAGCTCCATAACCTCTTGATGTTGGGAGATGATCACCTAAAATCTCAGAGAGGGAGGGAGATGGGGGGAGGGAGAAGAGAGGAGAGAAATGTTTGCTCCTCCTGTGGAACACTGTACAAATTCAAGGTCTTTTTGTATACTGACCAAGTAGAGTTCTTCGCAAAAGAGCAACATTGGCTTATTTCCCAAAGGCTATTAAATACACCACTCTGAAGGAGTAACAAGTTTACATGATATTGTTATATGTTAGAAATCAACTCTCAATGCAGGCATACATGTCCCCTGTCCTCTATATGGCAGGCATACCCATCTGGCCTCTCTGTTAGGCATAGTCATCCCCATCTATGGCAGGCTTATGCATCCTCTCTACTGTAGGCATATACATACTGTGTCCTCTCTACTGAAGGTCTTCACATTCACTGTTCTCTCCACTGCAAGCCAATGCTTTGCTTGTTACCTACTGCAGACATAGGCATGCCCTGTCCTCCTACTGGAGGCATACACATCCCTTGTGCTATCTACTGCAGTCATACCCATTGCCTGTCCATGCTACTGTGGTGTATGCATCCCCTGTCCTCTCTAGTGTACACATCTGCTGTCCTATTGCAGGGATACATAACCCCTGAGCTCTTCACCCCAGGCACAGGCATCCTGTCCTCTCTACCGCAGGGATATGTATCCCCTGTCCTCTCAAGGCATACACACCAGTGTCCTCTTTACTCCAGTCATATGCATCCTCTGTCCTCTCTCTGCAGGCATACTCATCTTCTGTTCTCTCTACAGAAGGTCTAAACATCCCCTAGAATTTCCACACTTTCCCTGTTCTCTACTATAGACTACACATCCTCTGTCTCCACTATTGCAGGCTTATGCAACACTTGTATTCCTACTGCAGGAATATACGTCTCCTATCTTCTCTCCTGTGGGCACACACATCCCTGCTCCTTTCTCTTGCAGGCATATGCATCCCCTGTTCTGTTCCCCTGCAGACATACTTAACGCATATGTTCCTCTGCAGATATACCGCGTTCCTCCTAGTGTATGCATATGCTTCCCTATCCTTTCCACTAAAGGCCTACACATCCCTTGTGCACTCTACTCCATCTACACACAACCCCTGTCCTATCTACTACAGGAACACACTTTTTTTTTTTTTTTTTTTAAATCTTTTTGAGACAGGATCTCACTATGCAGTTCAGGTCAGCCTTAAGCTCACTTTGTAGCTCAGGCTAGTCTCGAACTCGCAATGATCCTCCTACCTCAGCCTCCCGAATGCTGGGATTACAGGCATGAACCACCATGCCAGCTAGGAATACACATCCTCTCCTCTCTACTGAAGGACCACATGTCCTCTATCCACTTTATGATGGGCTTATAAATCCCATGTCCTCCTACTACAGTCATAGGCATGCCCTGTCTTCCTGCTATAGGCATATCCAACCCTTGTCTTCATTACTGTAGGCATGTGCATCACCTGTCCTCTAAACTGGCATATGCATCCCTTGTGCATTCTACTGCAGGCTTATGCATGCACTGTCCTATTACTGCAGGTATACACGTATCCTGTCAGCTAGACTCAAGGCATACACAACACCAGCCTCTTACTGCAGACATACACATCCCTTGTCCTCTCTACTGCAGAGGTACTCAACCCCTGTCCCCTCTACTAAAGGCCTGCACATGCCCTGGCCTCTCTACTGCAGTGTTATACATTCCCTATCCTTTCTACTGCTGGTATATGCATAACATGTCCTATGTATTGCAGTCACATGTATCCCCTGTCCTCTCTATTATACCTTAAGCATTCCCTGTCACCTCAGTGAAGGCCCACACAGCCCCTGTCCTCAAATTGCAGGCATACGCAGCCCGCGTCTTTACTGCAATCTTACACTTCCCCTGTACTTTCTACGGTAGCATAAGCATGCTCTGTCCTTTCTACTACAGGCATGTGCACATCCTGTTCTACATAACGCAGGACATCATCCCCTTCTCTACTGAAGGCCTATACATTGCCTCTCCTCTTTACTGCAGTCATGAACATGCTTTGTCCTCTACTGCAGGCACAGGCAGCCCTGGTCCTCCCAGTGCATGCATACTCATCCCCTGTCCTCTCTACTGCAGTCATGCCCATGCCTTGTACTACTGCAAGCATAAGCATGCCCAGTCCTCTGTAATGCAACTTACACAGCCCCTGTCCTCTGAGTTGAAGATCTACACATGCCCTGTCCTCTGCACTGCAGGCCACACCATCCCTTCCTCCTACTGCAGGCATATGTAACATCACTCATCTCTACTGCAGACATACGCCTCCCTGTCCTCTCTACTGCAGGCGTATGTGCCCCTTGTCTTCACCACTGAGCCATAAGCATCCTGTTCTATCAAAGGAGTATATATTCCCCATTTTCTTTACTGCAGGTTTATGTACTCCTTATTCTACCACTGCAGGCATATGCATCTGCTGCCCTCTTTACTGCAGGCATACACATCCCATGTCTTCTCTACTTAAAACATATGCCTCCTCTGTCCTCTCTACAGCAGTCATGCACATGTCCTGCCCTCTCCACTGCATGATATTTTCTCCGGTACCGGGAACCGAACTCACGACCTTGCGCTTGCCAGGCAGACGCTTTTGCCGCTGAGCTAAATCCCCAGCCCCTTCCATTGCATGATACACAATCGCTGTCTTCTCTACTGCAAACTTTCTATGGACGTTATAAACATGCCCTGTCCTCTCTACTACAGGCATACACATATCCTGTCCTCTATAATACAACATACATATCACCTGTCTTCTCTCCTGAAGGCATATGTATCCAACATCTTCCCTATACACTCTATGTCCCTATACACTCTATGGCAGGTATATGTATCCCCTGTCCTCTCACTGCAAGCATACATATCCAGGGTCTTCTTTACTGCAGTCATGCACATTCCATATCTTTACTACTCCAGTCATAAACATACTCTGTTCTCTCTAGTGGAGGCATATGCATATCATGTTCTTTATAATACAAGGTATTTATTCCCTATTTTCTCTACTGAAGGTCCAAGCATCCCCCATCCACTTTACTGTCCTCTGTACTGCAAACATACACACACTCTGTCCTCTACCCATCGCCTGTCCTCTCTATTGAAGGTCTGCACTTGCCCTGTTCTCTCAACTGCAGGTGCACACATCCGCATCTCCCTGATGCAGGCATATGCAGCTGCTGTCATCTATACTGCAGGCATATACATCCTGAGTCCTTGTCACTGCAGGTATACATATCCACTGTCTAAGTACTGCAAGCCTATGCCTCCCCTGTCCTCTGTAAAGCAAGCATATGCATCCCTTATCCTACTGCAAGCATACACACCTTTTGTTTTCTCTACTTCAGTCATATACATCCCCTATCCTTTCTTCTACAGTGAAAGTATGCCCTGTCTTCTATACTGCAGACATACATATAACCTATGCTCTGTAATGCAACATATACATTGTCTGTCCTCTTACTGCAGGCAGAAACATCACCTGTCCTCTCTACTGCAGTCATAAGCA